TATGTATTTACATGTGTATATATGTATATATTTTGTGTGTATATATGTGTATATGTGTATCTATATCATGTATATACATGTGTATATTTGTATATATATAGTGTATTTATATATATAAATATATACATATATGTATATATATATATATATATATAAATAATATGTATATATAGTGGTGCATGTATGGGCATAAATGTATAATGTATACCACACGGCCCGTTTCGGTGGGTGAGCCCTTGGGTGTTTCTGTGCATATGTTCAGCCACTGACACACATGAATGCAACCACAGTCACGCGTATATCTAATGCGTGTACCATTCGCATGTGTATATGCTCGTATGTCTTTAATCCTGTCTGCAGAATGCTGCATGCCTCCCCCAGTGCTGTTTTAGGGTTTAGGGCTTGTCCATCTGCTTACACCGGGTGCACACAATCGCAATGCGTCCTGGTGCAATCGATTCCACACTCTCCGGTCATATGTGTCCTTATATGTATATATGCACGTACACATACCTGCACATCTTATTCATCACATACATGTATGTACGTCTAACCACATGTATTCGTGAAACGCTTCGTATCAGCTAGTGTGTCTGGTATGGCTGCTATATTCCTTGGTACGTATGTAAACTGCCTTTATACATATATATATATATATATATATATATACTGATGCCCTCACTTCTGGGTCTGTGTAGGCTGAGCCGTATTGGAAGGAGTTTGAGTTCTACACGGGAGATGCTGAGCTGGATGACCAGACACGGCAGCTGGCGATGCAAGTGGTGGACTACGCGCACACAGCGCATGCCTTCGACGAAACGGTCATGGTGAGTAGACAAGTGTGTTTAAATGTACTGCAACCCCAACTTCAAGTGTGTCTGTTGTATATAAGTACTCCTTAACCCTGACTTCAAGTGTGTCTGTTGTATTTAAGTATTCCTTAACCCCGACATCAAGTGTGTATGTTGTATATATGTATTCCTAAACCCCGAGGTCAAAGAACCCACACACCAACGGCGAGTACGTGTATTTTACCTGAAATCCGCTTCTCTTGTCCTGGTGCAGTTTGGGGGCAATGCCTTTGAGATGGATAATCTGAAAGTGGAGTTCAGGGACAAGTTCCACAACGTCAGCCGCATCATGGACTGTGTGGAGTGCGCCAAATGCCGAATGTGGGGCAAGGTATGGACGCATGTAGCAGTTGCAAAGAGAGATGCTTGGTAGGCAGACACTCCCGCTGTATGTACTAGACTTAGGGTTGTTGGGTTTTAGTTTAATAAGCGTATGGCATTGTCAAGTACTACATGGAACCTGCTCAATCTGTCACTACGCGTCGTTGCTGCTGTGCTTGCGCGATGTGTGTTTGCCGTATGTTGCCATAGCAACAGAGCTCTCATTGTCACACCAGGCTATGCACTAACAAGTCAAGCGTAGCTCAGTCCATCCTCACCCACACCCGCCCGGACCTGTCACCGCATGCCTCGACATCTTAGGGTTTTAGGGTTTTCAGTCAGCCCAATGTCACGTGTTTGGGTGCCACGTGCAGTGTCCTGCGTGTCTCCCCTCATTGCCCACACTCTCCTCCAACTGCCCTATGCGCACCCGTGCAGCTGCAAATAGAAGGGCTGGCCACGGCCATCAAGATCCTCTTCACCAACACCTACACCTCCGACGAGATAGAGCCAGAGACTTGTCCAGCCGAACAGACAGGTACCGTTACTCGCATGCACGTGTGTTGTGAGGGTTAGGGGTTACTCCCATGCACGTGTTGTGTGAGGGTTAGGAGTAGTTGTTCGGGGCAGGGGTTGTGACTTTGCGAGTCGATTATTTGGGTGCAATGGTTGTCCTTGTGAGCAAGTTTTTGGTGCAGGGCTAGTTTGTTCGTATTTGTTTCTAACACCGCATGCGTGTGTGTGTGTGTGTGTATCTGTGTTTGTGTCTGTATCAGTGTGTGTGTGTGAGTGTGTGTGTGTATGTATGTATGTGTGTGTGTGTGTATGTATGTATGTGTGTGTGTGTGTGTGTGTGTGCATGCCTAGTTACCTATGCTCGTGTCTATGTACCTGTCGATGCCTTAAGCTGATCTCACTGTGTTCTCTCACTCTCACCGCACCCATGCAACGTTTCCACAGGCTCGTCAAGCGCGTTCTCCAAGAATCTCAAACTGCGCCGCAACGAAGTAGTGAGTCTGTTCCAAACACTGGAACACTTCTCGTACAGCATCAATCAATTAGAGGGACTACGCAACATGTACATACCCGACCCCAAAACAAGAGAGCAGAGTAAACCCCCTCCGGACTTTGCCAAACCGGCATTCGCCATCGACGGTACAAAGGGAACCCTTTGATGCCTGTCTGAGTATATGTAGTGACGGTGCCAAGCGGTCCATGACCCGTCTGGGGCTGGGCAGGACAGGGCCAGAAATAGGACAGGACAGGACAGGACCATGGCTGGCAACGGGTGCAGAGTACACCTGAGGGCTGTGAGTTGCGCTGCAGCACACCCTTCTTGTTTGCCATGGGAATACGCCTGTAATGTGTGAGTGTAGGTACTTAAACACTTACCATGACCCCGATCGGTGGGATTTAGGACACAAATACCGCACCACACGAAAGAGGGCGGGATACAAAGAGGCGACAGGCGTTGTATTGTAACCCTAAAACTCTAAGACCCTATCTGAGGTCGTATGTAGCTACAATAAAATAGAATCGATACGAACACACCACTGCCAATTGGAGAGTTCAGTACTAACCACCTGCCCCAACTCTTTAGGGGCGACACAAAAGTGGTATTGTCTGTGGTGGGGGAACAGTGACCTGTCCGTGAGGGGCCCGACCCCCTGCCTAAGTTTAGACCTGGCATCTCTTTAATATGTAGATAAGTATTTCAAAACGTTGAGTTCTACGCAGGCCTAGAATTAGCCCTGGTATCTCTGCTGTCTAGATAAGTGTGTAACCATGCAACTGTGCAATGTAAACCATCCGTTTTGATCCCTCCGTACAAGTCTGTGTAGATTGAAGGTACAACGCGCACCAGACTTCCCGAGACTGTGTGATATGTATGCTCTCTGCACTTCAATAGGCCGAGCCTTTGTGTTGAGCGAGCGTTGAGCATGTCTGTAGTCTCCTTTGGTTCAAACCTCTACTGGCCCACTTAGTAGCAATAGGTGGGCTACACAGGTCTATGGCCTGAACCAGGTTTTATAAGCCTCGTCTCGGCGTTTATAACGTGCAAAACGATTGATATTGTCGGAGGGGTTATCGATGTACACAGTTCGCGTATTCTCAAAGGGTCTCACGATTGCCGATTTGTATCATTCACCGGTGTTTTGATTGACGCTGTGGGATAAGCCGAGTCACTGTCGCTGCATTTGACGGAAAGTACTAATAAACTATGTTAGGTAAAAGTAAACATATTGAAACAGACATTGAGGTAAACGTGTAAATAATCTATACTACTAGTAAATATAAAATCAAACTTCAAGGTAGAAGTATAATGAACAATATTGGGTAAAAGTAAATATATTTAAACAAGCTATGAGATGAAAGTATAAATAAATTATGCTATGTAAAAGTAAATATAGACAAACTAAAAGATAAAAGTACAAATATTAACTATATCAGATAAAGTAAATATAAAGAGGTAAAAATATAAAAACACTATAAAATATAAACAAACCACGAGGTAAAAGTATAAATAAACTATATCAGATAAAAGTAAATACAAACAAACTATGAGATAAAGGTATAAAACCACTATATGAGGTAAATGTAAAATTAAACAAACTATAAGATAAAAGTATAAAAACACTATATCAGATAACAGTAAATATAAACAAACTATGAGATAAAAGTATAAAAACACTATATCAGGTAAAAGTATATACAAACAAACTATGAGATAAAAGTATAAAAACACTATATCAAGTAGAAGTAGATATACATAGACTATGAGATAAAAGTATAAAAACACTACATCAGGTAAAAGTAGATTTAAACAAACTTGATGAGATATAAGTAAAATAAGCCATATCAGATGGAAGTAAATATAAACAAACCATAAGTTAAAAGCCAAATAAACCATATCAAATAAAATTGAATAAAAACAACCCATGAGGTAAAAGTTAAATAAACCATATCAGATAAAAGTAAATATAAACAACCCATGAGGTAATAGTATAAAAACACTATGTCAGGTAAAAGTATGTATAAACAACCCATGAGGTAAAAGTGCAATAAACCACAACTAATAAAAGTAAATATAAACCAACCACAAGGTAAAAATATAAAAACACTAAATGGCCAACCAACAGTTCATCAATAAAACACAAAGTGCCGGTAATAGTTTAGGGACTCCTCCCATAAGAACATCAGACACATCCAGACTGTAGAGAGGGGACTCGACTGTGAATACTTTCCGACGTGACAGGGAGACCCGCGACATGAATACTTTTAGCCTATACAAAGAGAAGCATTGCGATTTTACAATGAATATGTGCCGAGTTTTACTTTTGCCAATGTTGACAGAGTAGATTCGCAAGAAAGGCAGTTAAAACAAGTTTACACATACTGTTAATACCACGGGTACTATAAATTCCTCGGCTTATTTCACGTGGATAGTGACGTGGTTTGTTCTCTATAATAAACTTTGGTTTACAATGGGATTGGCTTTCTATAACATTATGGTCGTAAAAATAGAACGAAAGAAACGTTTTGTAAAGGCTTAGTCACATCAAGCTCAAGTGATACCTCCCGGAAGTCGCCAACATATCTTCTGCCTTTTGGAACTACTTGTGCTGATTTGTGTATGTTCAAAGTGTCCAATGTGTGCTATTGATAGTTGTTGGATAAGCAGGGATGTATCTATTGATAGCTTTATGTGAATGTTTAACAGCCAATACTTGCTAGTGAAATCAACAGCTCGGTCCGATAGCAAACTGTGACAGTAGTCAACACTGAAACCTTCCCAAGCGCCTATGTGTAGTGCGCACTAAGCAAACTCGGGGTCGTTGTGTGCTATTCACGTACACCGCAAAAGTTAATACAATAGTGTTACACCCATAAGAATTACATGAACATGTTAATACAATAGCGTTACACCCATCAGCATTACATGAACATCACACCCCAAAAGTTAATACAATATCGTTACGCCCATAAGAATTACATTAACATCACACCCCAAAAGTTCATATAATAGCGTTACACCCATAGGCAATACATGAACATCACACCTTAAACGTTAATACAATAGCGTTACGCCCATAAGCATTACATGGAACTTCAAACTGATTATATTGCGTGTGACTGCCTCGAGTGCTCACTGCTCGGGCCTCAGTGCCGACTGGCAAAGATTTATTTCTCTTGAAAAAAGGTATAGTATTTACATTTATTTCTAAAAATACATATTTATCTATGTATCTATATAATATTTATTTTTATAAAACATTACTACATAGACAGTTAGACACACTCTATCATTTTTAGATCGCCATAGATATACTCTTTATTGATTTAGCTATTTTTTTTTCACCACTCCCAGAGTCACAAGTCACAAGTCACAACTTCAAAAGTCAACTCACAGTGATGAGTCACCCACTGACACTGTCACACAAACAGTGACAAGTTGACAACACTTGTCAGTCTGTCAGACTGTCAGTCTGTCACACAACAAGACTCTCAAGAGCCAAGAGGCCAAGGTCAAGGCGCCAAAGCTTTCGTTCTTTTATTCATAAAATAATTCTTTGGGTCGAGGACTCGAGTCTCCAGAGGGTCGACGGTCGACTGTTGAGAACAGTCTGAGACTTCTTGAAGGACTCGAGCCTTTGAGGCGTTGACCACCCCCTGAGCAGTGAGCATACATTTAAAGTTTTAAACTGCAGAGATTCTAGCGTAAGGGTATGTGCATACGTAAATACGGTACACATATACTAGTTCGAACAAATGCACACTTCAATTCAATCCGTCTCCAGTGCGGCGTCGAAACTGATTGCGAAGTGGGTGAACTCTCCAACTTCGCACCCTACACCTTTATTGTATTAGCGTCACTCCATCCGGTATACCTTTTACAATAGGATACTCATTGACTCATTCCCCTGTAGTAGACCCTTTTATACTGTACCTTTATACTCTCAAAGCGCACGTACGCGTTTCCTCGCATACTTTTGATAGGCTTAGTGCAGGCCTTAACACTCCACCATGACCGTGACACAAACCCCAACAAAGCAAGATGTCATGCGTGATCTAGAACATAATACTTCTAAGGAGGGGTTGGAGATAGATGACGTGCTTTTAGACTATATTGCTGACATACTCTTGGAAGAAAGTATGCACACGGGAGCAGTGACCTGTGCGGCTGACTTAAGTTCTGTCATTGGTGAACTGGTCGCCGAAGAGGAGGCTGACGCACTCAACAACGCTATATACGAAGGGTTGACTGCCAGTTTCTGGGTATGGGTTTTAACTTCAGTATGAGTACTCCTAATGTTAAATCGCAGATAGTTTACTGGTGTATAGTAGTGTACAATAAACTTGCAGTCTACGAGTACTTTAATATTAAATCGTATATAGGTTAGTGATGTATAATAATCTATAATAAATTTCAGTCTACGAGTGTCCTTGACCTAATTCATACGTACCGAACCTAAGACGTTCACTATGTCTATTGAGCATGTCGATAATTTACTATATGTCACTAATTATATTCAATGTAGCAATACACGTATTCGTCTTGATGTGATCAGATCAGAATAGGGGAATCACAATAAAGATGTATGAATATATTCATATGTGAATGAACGATCACGAATTAAATGAGAATATAC